GAGAAAAAGAACAAAAATTACAAAATAAAAAAAAAATTTAGGGCATTTTAACAATTAAAAGCTCTGTCAAATATTAATTTATTTTGATTAAATGAGTATAAAAATTATATCTTAATAAGGATACTTGATGAGAGCCTAACAAATATAATAATAAAAATATAAAGTTTAAATGATTAATAAAAAATATTTTAATATTATTCCAAACAATACAAAAATATTTTAGTTTATAAGAAATACAGTATAAATACTATCTAAATCATTTCAACTAAGGGAAATAAACTCCTAAATTTAATAACTATATTTTCTAAATACAATTAAAAGCTTTCAAATAAAGTTATCTTCTATGATTTAAATTATTAGATTTTAAGTACTAACCTTATATAAATCTGAATATTATATTTTAATCAATTCATTTTATAAAAAAGATATAGGCTAAAGTTTATATGCTTATAATGATCAACCTATTCGCAGCCTATCAATTCTAAAATTTTGAAAAGCTGCTTAAAGTGTAGGTCTTGTTGAGATGCCACAACATAATATATAGCATCAAATTTGTATTGTTTATATCACTTCATAGTAGCACCAATATCCTGAGTAATATATAAGGTTATACTATCATTCTTTTGAATTATCGCAATATCTAATTTATATTCACCTAAATTTACAATTATTGTACTATTTGATTTCATAGCAATATTTTTCTCCTTGAGTATTTTTAATACAAGAGAGATTCTTTCATTACTAATTTGTGATTCACCAGAATAAATGTCAAAATTAACATTAAAATAAGCGTAAGTATCTTTGTATCTTTCTATACTAAGATTTTTAAATCTTTTCTATAATGCAAGCACGAATTTATCATCTTAAAAAAAATAATTTAAATTATGTTTAATATATATATCACTTAATTCTATAAAATTTAATTTTGTGTAAACATACCAGTTTCTATTTTTTTGAAATAAATATGAGCCTAATTATCTATATCAGAATCTTTTATGATATCAGCTAATGTTAATATATTATAATTTTATTAAATATAGTTAAGTTCGAGTGTTTTATAACCTTATTAAAAACAATAAAACCTACATTAATTTTGATATACACATCATATAGATGTTTAATTAGATTTTTAAGTAATTCTTTCTCAGATCCATATTTCTCAAATCCAATGGCTAAAAGGCCTAAAATCTAATTAAATCCAAAATTAATTAATGATTTTTTTTTTTTAGAGAGGAGATAATAAGAACACAAAAATGAAAAGAAATTTACTATATTGTTTACCCTAATCACAAGATAATTCATGCCAATCGTTTTTCAACTGTTCGCTACATGTATATTTCTAACAAAATTTCCAATAATTGTACTGTGTAAATGATCTGTGTAGAATAGCTTTGCTATGTTTGGACTGCTAAAATTAATAAAGCAAGTTTTATTAGCCTAAATAAGTTTCTCACTTCTCACATATTAGCAATTTTACCTTTTTACATAGTTAATATAAATACCTATAGATTTTTAATCGTATTTGTCCAAACTTTTATCAATTTTATAAATTCTTGAATTCTTAATTGGCTATGAAATATTTAATTGTCTGAGTGTTTTTGTACTAGCTAAATTATAAATAATAAAGTTATAAAATTTAGTAATTTAAAAGTGAACTATAAAAACTGCAAATTGAACTTACGATCTTTATACTGTTATCTTATTTAATATAGAAAGCTGTTGTATATATAATACAAACAGATACTGAATCTGTGTATTTTGTGATAATTTTCATCAGTAAATTAAAAATTCTATATATCATATCAGTCATTATTTAGTCACAATATAATAAAGAATTTATCAAACTTTTCATAAAAGGATACGCTAACTCGAGATTCTTAATATTCTCTAGCTTTGTATTAAGTAGTGAATATAACATATACCTTTTTGACTTTAGGTTTTGTTTCTTTTTTTTCCTTTTTGGGGTTTTTTTTTTTCTCAACTTCTTTCTTTTCTTTCTTTACGGGTTCTTTTTTAACAAGCTTAATAGTTCAAATTCTTGACTCTACCTAGTGGACAAATAAAAATTTATAAGAGACTTAGTTAGCTATCAAACCAAGTTAATATTGCTATTTGACCTTGTGTATTGAACTTATGCATACCTATTTTACTAATCT